AGGATTCATTCGCTCAACGGTAAGCGGCTACTTTTTTATTTAACCAATCGCTGCTATTCGGTCGTGACGTATGTATCCTAGGGCTGGGTATCATTAAGGAGTTGCCGATACGATACACACCTCGATACACAGGCCACGATACGATACATATCTCGATACAGTGCACTTTCGATTCGATATATTTCAAATCGATTCGATACGGTTCAATAAAAAAAAGGCTAAATCATGGCTGTGATACTAAAAGTCTTTGTTAAACCACTTCTTGTGCGAAGTTCATATGAAACACAAACATTTTAATCCTCAAAACAGTAAAAATGTCAAATGTGTTTCATAAATAAGCTTCATTTCACTTCCACAAGCAACTAAACTGTAGCACTGTAACAAAATAATTTAGTAAAACACACCTAAAAATACTCTTGGTGAAATATCGATACAGTAGCCCACAATATCGATACTGTATCATCACATTAAACGATACGATATATCGATATTCCGATATTTTTGCACACCCCTAATGTATCCTGTAGGAAGAAGGGCAATAACGTATTTTAGCTTGATAAAATTCACCAAACATTCTCTTTGTTCTGGCTTTAAATCCTCGCTAGGACCACACCAACAACAACATAGTGCGAAGAAGTTTATTGATAATGTACGAAGCGGGGCAGGGGTGGCTGGGTTGAGACTCTGGGTGGGGGGCTCCGTCTCAATCTGCAATTGGCCCAGCTGGAACGGGACCCCCCTTGTAGGCGTCTTATGACTGAAAGACGAACAAAATAGGGGACGGGAGGGTGGGGTTGAATTAGCCGAGACAAGCTGGGATGATGGGAAAGGCTGCGACATATAGACTTTTGGGAAATTAGAGGTGTATTCGAAGTGAGTTGTGGTTCGCTGCTGAGAGGAGAGGGCAGTTGAGGCGTGGTCCTGCTCATGAATCTCAGTTAATCATCTTAACTATATATCTCGGGAATCGTTGCCAACACAGAATGTCTGTCTTCGTCTACATCCATCTCGACGCCTTGTTTACTGTTGTGCTGTTCCACAAAAGGGACCCAGACAGATGCTTGAGTTTGACGTCATGGCTTCACAGCTCTTCGCTGATTGGCCGGTGCGCGGTCTACACTTATATCTGTCTGCAAGGAGGAGCTAACTACACTGAAACTACTCTGAAACTAACACCCTACTTGTTTACAGTTTGTTTGTTAGTGCGGTTCAATAGGCCTAGCTGAGCGTGGGGCCATATTAGAGTCGTTCAGCCCCATAATGGAGCTCTCACACCTCTGGCCCCGACCTGCTCCCCCTATTCTCTTTGTTTTAGGTTTGAGGATGGAGTTGTAGATGGGAGACAGATGCTGCCTCCATTTCTGTTCAAGAATGAATTGCCTTTCCTAACAAAAATAGCCTCTCTAACTCTCCTCTCGAACCAATTCTTTTCTTACTATGATTTTTCATTAGTGCACATCTCGGGACATTACGAGTTCGGGCTCTTTTGTTTCAACTCGGCTTTGTTCGATTTCAGGACTCTCAAACACGCTTTTTTAAAACCCTTCTTTGATAGAATGATGTGCTTCTGTTAAAAGTGGTGCTATAGTCTCATACGGTGTCATATAGTAATGAAATTCAGAACAAATAACACTGACTGTAGGAGCTATTTGATCATTTTGTTGATTCTAAAATTAGTTTATTAGCTTACTAATTTAGTTTTGTTAATTTACATAATATATTTTTGCTATGTTAATTTGGTATTATTTACGTTAGCACCTTTTTGTTTTTGGTTTAATTTGGGTCACCTAGGGGTTAAAGGAGGGTGGTACACGTAGACCAGAGTGCACCTGAGTGGGCCTATGATTTTTTACCAGTCGAGAGGAGAGGCAGCAGGAATAGGCCTTCAACATGTATTCCTTGTTGCTTGCCAAAACTGGAAAATAAATCTTGGAAACTCAGCTCTGGTCATGGATATGGATTTGTACTGCGTAAACCACATACCCATGGTGCCCAAAAGTGATTATTTGAGTTATGTTTAGTTCTGAGTTTGCTTACCGCTTTTGTTTGTTACTTTTCTTTGACAAATTGTCACTACACTGACATAATGATGAATACAACGATATAACATTATAGGGCAGGGGTGTCAAACATACGGCCCGGGGGCTGGATCCGGCCCTCCAAGACCTTTAATCTGGCCCTCGGCTGATTTTCTACTAAAATATTTTAATTATATTTTAAAACCTGACAGAATAAGCAATTTTTCGCACACCATTCACAGTCAAAACCTCTAATGTGCCCGCAGACATGCAACTAGAAATAATAGATTTACAATTACTGCTTACCTTTGTGAGCAGATTTTCTCAGTAATGAACATTAATAAAACAAAGCTCCGCTCAAAGCTAAACACACAACACACAAGCACCTGAATGACATTCTGAGGAAAGCAGCTCCTCAGGACATTGTGCTTGACACTGATGCACTTGTGCAGGCTAAAAGATGCCAAGTTTCAAGAGCCGAAAGGAAGCATGACTAAATTCTATGAAATGCATACAAGTTCATGTTAAGACAGCGTGTTGAAATAGCATTTTTCTTAAAGTTTCAGGTTGTTCATAATATTATAATATTTTGTAAAAGAAAGACTTCATCAATTAAAAAAAAAAAATCTGTAATAGATTTGTGTTTCTCTGCACAAATATTTGAACTTATTGCTATTTTTTTTGGTATATATGTCATGAGTTTTCTGATCCAGCCCTTTTGGGATCAAAGTAGGTTGGAAACGGCCCCCGGGACCAAAAAGAGTTTGACAGCCCTGTTATAGGGATTCATACATTTCTGCTTCCAGTTATTATATCATTTGTAGAAAAAAAAAAACTAATGGCATTGTGAAACAGCAGAATAAATTTATTGTTTCATATGTAAATAGAAAACCTCCCTAATTTGTCATCTTCAAATTAAGCCCAAGATGAGCTCTGTGTCTCGATCGGATCACCAGAAATAATGTTTTATACCCCAAATTACTGTTATTATCATCATATTCATTCACAAGTTTGTACAGACTCTTGCTTATGAAGAATGACAGCAGATATTCAAATGAGAAAACACTATACAGGCTTACAGTCGCAGCTTAAAGACACTTCCCCATATGTCTCTCATCTTCACCACACTATAGACGGCACTTGGCAGCCGCGAGTTTGCAGCGTGTGCCAGGGTTTTTCTCTGGTGAGTTTCCGTGTCTGTGTTTCAGCCCTGCAGTCGTTTCATTATTATATTTTACCCAAGACCTGTGCCATTCAAGTCCTATAATGATTGACGTGCACTGTGTTTCACACCAAGTTAACAGGAAAGAAGCAATGTAATGATCACATCTAAATATGAAATGATTATATTATGAAAAATGTACTCTCTGTGAGTTTTAAGTCATGCTGTTATCTCCTCTAAAACATACTTGGGAGTTGTGTTTTGTTTCATTCACACATGTTTGAGTAACCCTGCATTATTAGTCTGTCTACATCTCCAAAGTTCAAAGTCCTTTTATTTTATTTTATTTTTTTTAGGAGAGATGAGCGGTTCTAGGGCTCCATTGATCCAAATGATTCTAGTGAATGTGTATGGAGACACTGTAATTCTTTCTTTATTACCTATTACCTATTAACTAAGAAGCCTAAATATGCAAAGTTTGTGTGTTAAACATGTGTGAATGAAACAAAACACAACTCCAGGTCTGCTGCCCTACAAAGGCTTAGACCTTAACTCGACACAGTGTAAAACTGAGAAAAATGACTTCAAATTTTCTGTTTTGTCCAGACAGTTAGGGCTCCCAAAATGTGACAACTAGCTGCTATAATGAAGCAATATTTGTATGTGAAAAATATTGAGCTCAAAATTGATTTTTGACCCTTATTTGGCACTTTCGTCCTTCCTGCCTTTGTATCATGAGTCAAAAATAAGGAGCCGTGCAAAGGCAAAAGGCAGAAACTGACATGATCATTAAATTAAATAAAGCAAGAGAGGTAGAGCGCTTCACTGGGTCTTACAATAGTAAAAAATAACAGTACAGGTGCTCTACGAGGGTAAGACAGTGGTCTTAGAACAGAAAATTACCCTTACAGAATAAAAAAAAAAAAAAATGGGTAAGGCACAAACCTGAGGCACTCCGATTGAATATATTAAAAGTCCTTTATTACATGAAGGGTCGCCAACGCGTTTCGACCACCAAGATAGTCTTCATCAGGGCAAAGTAGTGACTACTACTACTACTACTTTGCCTCGGGTTTGTACCTTACCCATTGTTAAATTTTTTTCTGTAAGGGTAATTTTCTGTTCTATGACATGTTCATTATTTGCTTGATTTTCTCCAGACTTCAATCCATTATAAGAACATCTCACTGAGGTCGAGTCTTCATGGAGTTTGATTGAAATGATATAGAAGAGCTTTGGATTTCCTGTTTAGTGCTGATTAGGACAGTTTGACAGACAAGTTACTTTGCAGTATAGTGTGTACAGCATGAATAAATACACAAAATACTATATAGTAGTATATAGTAGTAAGTATAATTGAATACAAATGTATATTTATTTAATGTGTTCAGACCCTATGCCAAGGCCACAACAAAAAGCAGGAGGTGAGAGGTTGGATTTTAAAATAAAATATATTTATTAACTAAATCACAAAGAAAACATACAGTTTCTGCCTTTTGCTTTTCTATGACTCCTTATTTCTGGCTCATGATACAAAGGCAGAGAACAGGAACTGACAAATAAGGATCAAAGGTAAATTTTGAGCTCACTATTTTTCACAATATTTATTCACATGATAAAGGATACAAACAAAATTACATTATGTTACAGCATTCTGCCTTTGTAGGGATGAGGAAACGGTATTATAAATCAGAAAATAGTGTAATATTGGCCCTTTTAGTAGAGTCTGTCAACACATCTGTCTCCAAAACCTGATTATTTTCTATTTTTAAAGCTGAAATATCAGAAAACCTTCACGCTGTTTCTCTTCTCTTTTTCAGAGAGCCTGGGGAGAACCAGCAACACCAAACTGCAAACACTGTGGGCATCCCTTTGTGCCAGGCCATGATGGAGTTCAACGCGGGCAACTACGCCAAGTCCGTGGAGCTGCTGTACCCGCTGCGCTACCGTCTCGTGGACATAGGGGGCAGCGATGCACAGGTGAGCTCCTCGAGTGTGATTTGATCTATGAGGGATTCTCGTAGAGACGTGCAACCCCGAGGCTGCACTGTCTTCCTATCTTTGCGTATCATAGATCATTCCAGATTGGGGTTTTTCTTCTCTCAAAACAAAATCTCTGTTGTTTTGAAAATCAGCCAGAGGTGAAGTGTGTTGTGTGTTAGAGGAATGGCTTCTTTCTCTCTAAGAACATACAGTAAAGCAGTGTCAGGACGGATAGAAACGGCTCTGCTATGAATAATAAATCGGCGTGATGGATACTGATGGACTCTGCTCTTGTATTTGAACGCTGTTCCCATGAGTCGAAACAGAGGGTCAGAGGAGCTCGTTCTCCAACACGCTCCTACAGCTCAAACAGAGAGATAAGGGACTACGGTCATACTATAATACTCCCTACAACTGTACAACATCTCAGCTTTATGTAACAGATAATACTCCCTACCACTGTTCTCTAATTTACCTTTATGTAACAGATAATACTCCCTACAAGTGTACAAGTCACCCTTATGCAACAGATAATACTCCCTACAACTGTACAACATCTCAGCTTTATGTAACAGATTATACTCCCTACCACTGTTCTCTAATTTACCTTTATGTAACAGATAATACTCCCTACAACTGTACAACAATTCATCTTTATGGAACAGATAATACTCCCTACAACTGTACAACAACTCACCCTTATGCAACAGATAGATAATACTCCCTACAACTCGCCCTTATGTAACAGATAATACTCCCTACAACTAGCCCTTATGTTATAATACTCCCAACAACTCACCCTTATGCAACAGATAATACTCCCTACAACTCGCCCTTATGTAACAGATAATACTCCCTACAAATGTGCAACAACTCGCTTTTATGAAACAGATAATACTCCCTACAACTCGCCCTTATGTAACAGATAATACTCCCTACAACTCACCCTTATGCAACAGATAATACTCCCTACAACTCGCCCTTATGTAACAGATAATACTCCCTACAACTCGCCCTTATGTAACAGATAATACTCCCTACAACTGTACAACAGCTCACTCTTATCTAACAGATAATGTATGTCCTGTCAATCATCATATCATTTTTTCCATTTTAATTTTTTTTATTTTATTTTGACTTGTACATTTATATAATTATGTCTTATTTGACCCCAGTCTCTTGCCATATTTTTTGCTATTTATTTACAATTTATTACTGTTTCTATTTTTACTCTTTTTTTATTATATTTAATGTCCAATTTACTGTCCAAATAATTTCCCTTGTGGATCAATAAGTTTGTCTAAGTTCGTGTATTCGCGGTGCGTAACAAGAGGAAGAAAAGGAGACGCCAATTTGAAACGCTGAGTCGTCTTTGTGTCTCTAATGATCTTTGTCGTCCGCTGTTCACAGAGAGACGTCTTCAATCAGCTGCTCATTCACGCCGCCATAAAGTCCGACAGTACCAGGCACCAGAAACTGGGAAGGTAACGCTCCACTGGGATTTGGGTTTACTCCAGGGTTTTCTTTTCCAGTATTTGTACTATGGATGTTTTTCTATGGATGTGTAGAGACCGACAACAGCATTTATTTCCTTTAAAACAAACAAAAAGTCCTGTGACGATCTGAGGTGTATATCTAACTTCAGGGCCTTTATCTTATTCTAACCTGCCAGATGTCGATGTGCACATTCCTCGGAGCCGTAGAAATAACTGTTTATATGAAAACGTGGGACCAATTTTAACAAAATCTCAAGAAATACTGTTTTTAATCTGAAAGGACGTACTGTTTCTTTAGACGGTGTAAACCAGGATCTCCAGCCTTTTGAAAAATGAAAACGACAGAGAGCTGCTCCTGTTAGCTATTGAAAGAAATTAAGTCGATATATAAAAATAAGATAAGAGACAAAACTGATGCAGATGTGTTATGGAACTGTTATTTACCTCTCAAATAACAGAACTGCTTTGTATAAATAAAAGTTCTAATACTGTGAGACTTTCTGGGCTGAATACGACCAGTAAAGAGTCTCATTTCATCAGTTTATATGTCCAACCAGGATATCGACTGAACCGATATTTAGAAGCCGATATCTGAAAGGGTGAGGAGCTCAGTCACACGGGAGGAGCTCGGAGTAGAGCCGACATGGCTTCGGAATCTATTTCAGATGCCTCCTGGGCACCTTCCTCTAGAGGTGTTTCGGGCATGTCCCATCGGAAGGAGGCCCCGGAGAAAACCCAGGACACACTGGAGGGACTGTGTCTCTGGGCTGGCCTGGGAACACCTCGAGGTCCCCCCGGAAGAACTGGAGGAAGTGTCCAGGGTGAAGGAAGTCTGGGAGTTCCTGCTTAGACTGCTGCCCCCACGACCTGGCCCCGGATAAGCGGAAGAAAATAGATGGATGAATATCCGATACCAGCACATTTTCCAATATCACCTCTAGTACGCTGATACTATTATCGCATTGGTGCATCTCTTATTTGTACCAATGGTGGAAGAAGTACAAAATTTACTTACTTAAATAAAATTACATCGACTGGAGCAAAAAATTCATGAAAAAAATCAACTTAAAAATGTTAAAGTACCTGTTTAAAAATATACTTTAAGGGTAAAAAAACTTTTATTTTTGGGTTTGATTGTAGTGATTTTTGAACAAGATTTGTAGTGATTTTTTTTTTGCAGTAGAAACAACTGAATCGATATTTTTTTTAATTATCGAGTTTGTTTGCTCAGACTACAACCAAAATAACCTCAGTTTTGTCAGTCGGTCTCAAACTATCATAAAAAAATACTTCTACTTTTCAGTTCTGTTCAAAAATGTAGAGTACAGTACAAATACCTGCTCAAATGTAATGAAGTAAAAGTAAAAAGTATTCTCTTTAAAATGTACTTTCTTTACTTAAAGGTGAATTGTGTAACTAGAGTTTCTTACCATGCAGATGTTGTTGCTTTGCCTGGAATTTTTCACAGTATTATATTACACTTACTTATTTCCATGGAGACAAGCACCGAGCCTATTTATAGGTCCAATTTGTGGAGAGGCGAGCTGATTATTGTGGAATACATATTTTTCAAGGTACTGTTTTATTGTTGCCTGGACGAATCCAGACTCAGCTCTGTACGAGCGGCTGATGTGGAGCTGTGTAACAAATACAGAGAAATATTCTTCTGGATTTCCAGGCAAGTTTTATTGTAAAAAAACACCCAAATAATAAGGAAGTTTGCTTTTGCTGGAATATACTACAGTACGGCATTAATCTCCCTCTGGACACAACCAGGTGCTGGACTCTGAGTAGAAAAGTTACACAGTGCACATTTAAGTATTTTACTACTTTTACTTTATGTTCCACCACTAATTTGTATGTTTATTTGTGAGTTTTTACGATGTACAGACCAGAGACTATAACTTTATGTAACCACAGTCCATTCAACATGTCGACGTTTCATTATTGATCACGTTAGCCTGTGTTTTTGTAGCGTTTTTTTTTTGTTTTGATAATTTACGTGGTCTTTTCCTGTATTTTCTCAGGTGTCTTTTGGTGGAGAGAGACTCGGTGAGGCCCAACTCCCCGATGACTGAGCGCCTGATGAAGACAGCTCTGGCTCTGCACGTGTAGTTAGAGCGGACAGAGAGAAACTACAGAAAAATCAAAGTCCTGTGACGATCTGAGGTGCCTGTCTGACTGAAAACTGGGAAAAAGAAGAGGAGTATCGTCTCACTGAAGTGGCCGTATGATTGTAGCCTTTGTTATAACCTGCCACACTGCAAAAAGCGGTATCTACGCGGCGTAAACCGCGCTTCCTCCTGTGCGCCTCTAAACCAGAACTAACACCAAGACTAAAACCAGGACTAACCCAGTCCAGGACTAAACCAGGACTAAACCAGGGACTAAACCAGGACTAAAACAGGACAACAGAACTAAACCAGAACTAACACCAAGACTAAAACCAGGACTAATCCAGTCCAGGACTAAACCAGGTCTAAACCAGAACTAACCAAGAACTAAAACCAGAACTAAAACCAGAACTAAAGCCAGAACTAAAACCAGGTCTAAAACCAGGATTAATCCATTCCAGGACTAAACTAGGACTAAAGTAGGACTAAAGCAGGTCTAAACCAGGACTAAAACAAGGACTAAAACCAGTGATCTCATATATAAAGCATTTCTCTATCACTAATATTTTTAATATGGTTAAGGAAAGACTGGACTTTTTATTGTCTTTAAGTCGACAAAAGTTATTATGTTCAGATTTCCTCGTCTTTGCTACTTTACAACAAACAGTTTCTTATTCATGGAGACTTGGGCTCAACAGACAATTTGAAGAGATTTGTTAAACAATAAATGACTTTATAAAGCCTTTTTTTTTGTTGTTCTATATCAGTCTTTTGATCTGCCACAATAATGTAATAATGAATTTAAATGAAAATACCTCAAATTGAAGGCTTTTCTCAGCAATTTTTAGGTGAGTTTAAAATGAGATTAATTAGATTAATTAATTACAGATCATAATTAATTAATCTCTCAATTTTTTTAATCACATGACAGCACTAGAAATTATATCTCGTCCCATCCTTAATTATCAATGTGCACATAGAAATAACAATGTTTATTTGGGAACAGTTTTAATAAAAAGTCTCAAATACTGATTTAAATCTGAAATGACGTACTGTTTCTTTACTTACCAAAATGAGACGGTGTAAACCAGGGTCTCCAACCTTTTTACCCTGAAGAGCTGCTTTTATAAAATGAAAATGACAGAGAGCTGCTCCTTTTAGCGGCTGAAAGAAATTAAGTCAATACATCAGTGACAGAGAGACTTGAATGGCACAGTTAGATGTCTGTATAAACCAATCAATCAATCAAAATGTTATTTATAGAGCACTTTTCCTACAGAAGAATGTAAGAAAAAGTGTCTTACAGTGCTTAACTTCACATTTGCTTCCACCAAAACACCACAACATGCACACATCCACACACACAAAGAGCAAGAACAAACAGTAAAACATGAGACTGAATAGAAATGAACCAGTTGAGGAGTCACCATCAGAGGAACCGTCCACAACAGGAGCAGAAACCATCATCTGTGCACAGTGTTGGGTATCTAAAGTTTACATTTACATCATAATAAGCATGTGATTAATCAAATTGAGCATGATATGTATTCGGGCAGCGAAAAAACACCCGCAGCCACACTCATCACTCCACGCCGACGAGGAACGGAACGGAGGAACGAACGGAAAAAGCGAGTGCAATGTGCCGCTTCTAGACACGACTGAACAAATGAGTCACTGCGAACACGCCGACAATCCGTTGGTCCCAGACAGCACCCTCCCTACACGCCACAACTGAACAAAGAACAGAGTCACCGTGAACGCGGCACAAACAAACAAAGTCCCACTGACCGACTGATCTAACTGTTGTGTTTCGTTTAAAGTCCGGTGTGGTGTATTTGTAATAAAAAAGTTTGAAAATAGACCATTCTATGACAGTGCGTTTTATAATCCAGCACCTAATAGCCCGGAAAATATGTTAGGTTTGAGGATGGAGTTGTAAATAGGAGATAGATGGTGTCTGAAGCCTCCATTTCTGTTGAGAGAAGGATTCTCTTTCTTCACAAAAATGGCTTCTTTCACTCCCCTCTCAAACCAGTTCTTTTCTCCGGCTCTCCCTGCAGACAGATATAAGGAAGTGTCCACCAGCGTCTGACCAGAACTGAAGAAGCAGCTTGGATGATCTGCAAAACGTCTTCAACCAAACTAACTTTTGACCAGTCCACAAACTGAATTTTCCCCTCGACATGGATTCTAGCTGGACGACTGACGGACGGATTCTTCACATATTAATGCCAAATACAATATTCAGCACAAATTAAGCATGATAGGCAAACATGAATCATTTGTATATTTTACTTTACACTCATATTTAGTTTGCGGGACTGCAGTTTATCATCCCACCTGCCCGATCTCGCACTATGCAGTCCTGCTCCCTCACGCGCCGCAGTGAGCTTTCAAAATGGATGGCTTTCATCGAAACCACTTGCTTGTGATCCAGAACTCACACTTCTTCAATGCTTTATGAAGATGGGAGTCTGGTTTCCATCTGGTCCTGCTTTGAAACGGACCTGACTGACAGATGGATTAGCCAATCAGGGTCTGTCCGCATCATAATAACCACTCACGAGGTTGAAAAACGTGCGGATATTTGCAAAGTAGGCTCTATTCATGCTTACCAGAAGACATTTGGAAACATGCGGATGGTGACTTCGGGTCTAGTTACCGACACTGAGTATGTGATAAAACTGTGGATTCAGCAGCAGCGTCTTCACAACCTGCCAAAGCTTTCCATGGGGGACAGGACTCTAATTGAATCGATGTCACTTAGACGCTGCTGGTTGGAACTGCTGATCTGCCTAGGATAACGGAACACTACAATGACATCTTTTTTTTTTTTTTTTTAATAAAACAAATTATAATACACAAATTAAGAGATTAAATTAAACTAATAAAGAATACGATGACACTTAGATGAAGAAACCGGGTCATTTTCTCAGTTTTCCCCGATTTTGTCAGAGTTATTTTCAGAGTTACTCTCGCCAACAGAACTCAAAGGAAGTCGTCATCCGCATGTTTCCAAATGTCTGCCGGTTTTGTGATGTTACCGTGAATAGAGCCAATCGATGAGCAAAGCACTAAACTCTGTTAATCTGAGGTGAGATCATTTTTTGGTTTTTATTTGTAAATCTAAAGTGACCAATGAGCTCCTTTGTTTCACATGTGTCACTAAAAAAACTAATCTAACTGGATGATCACGTTTAACTGGACTTAAGATGCAGCGGAGGGCATGAGGACCAAACTGAAGTGTTTTTAAAAAATAGGAGATAAGAGTCTGAATTTGAGAGGGAAGATTTCCAGATGCTAATTTGTGCGTTTATCATACGTGTTTTGTGACTTTAAAACCCTCACGCTCTCCTCAGGGTCACATTGACCCGAAGAAAACTTATTTTTTTTCCTTCCTGCTCTCTATATTAATTAATCTCTATATATTTCTTGCTTGGTGAGAATTTATTTGAAAATAAATTTTTGGGTCTGATTGACCTGCCCCAAAAGTGTGGGAAGGAAAAACAAAAGTTTCTTCGGGTCAATGTGGCCTCGAGGAGAGCGTGAGGGGTAGTTAGACTTTGGCCGTTGGGGAAATCAAAACAAATGCAGAGTATAATTTATTTGAAAACATTTCAGGGTTTGGCTGTTTGAATAGATTGGGTTATGCAAAAAGACATGTTTAAGACAAATGAGGTCTTTAACAGTGTGATTCAAATGTTAAACAGTGGGTAATGAATTATGTAATACAAACTTCGGATTCATCAGTCAAAACACGCTGCTTTATCTTTCAAACTCACTTTTATTAGCAAACATCACATTAAAATATACTCTTTTATAACTTATGTTTAAGTAAAAATACCATCCATGTGCAAACCAAATCAAAGCCCGTCCTGGACCTCCTCTTCCTCCTCTTCCTCCTCTTCGTCCTCTTCGTCCTGTTTTGTCCTTTTTCTGGTCCTCTGAGTCCTTGTGCGGCCGTCACAGCACGGAGCTGATCTCGTCCTGGATCTGCGAGATGAGGATCTGGGACAGGACTATTCCAGCGATCTGCGGACGACAAATCACAAATTCACAAGGTCTCCCATCGTTTACTCGCACAAACGTCTCCTTGGAAATGTTATTGCTGTGTCTAGAATGTTCCGCAACATAGATTAAACCAATCTATGACAAGAGACAAGCACGTTACCGCACTACACTATATTAGAGGTCGGATCTGTGGAGAGTCGCCACGGTTCCCAGAAGGAATTAATATATTTTTTTGAGCAATAGAAACACGCGTAATGAATAAATGCTAGATGGAAATGTCAAGGGATGGAACGAGACACAAGATTGGGTTTCACGATTCTGTTTCCAATTTTGGCCTCACATTTTTTTATTTACTTGATTTAATATTTTTGTTTCCATTCTTGTTCTGCTTTTTGTGCTGTTAAAGATTAAACTCTTCAACACGTAACACTTTTTTGTCCAATCCAAATGCAAACATAAGATAATTTTTCTCATGTGTGCACAAACTTGTGGCAATTTTGTCTCACCAGATCTTGTCCCATTTCTAATAATCAGAGTTCCCACGGTCATGGAAATCAAAAATGTCAATTTTTCAGACCTTGGAAATGTCATGGAATTTTGTAAATTCAATGGAATTTTAGTATCTCTTTCACGCAACTACAGCGTTCTGTTAAGTTCTCATTTGACTATTATGATTATTTCCGAACGTCTGCGCTTTTTGTTTAAAGGAGACGACAATAAATGCACTGACAGGATTTTGAATGTAAAAAAACTATAATACCAAACCATAAAGTGAGTGGAAAGAGTTAGCATTTCATATTTAGCCCTAAAAGTCAATCAGTCAATTCTACACATGCAGGGTGCTGTAAAGTCATGGAAAATTCACTTTAAGGTCATGAAAAAGTCATGGAAAAGGTTTGAAATGTTGTCAGTGAAAAAGAGTGGAAACCCTGAATAATGTCATACTATGGAACATTCCAGGCAATGCAAAAACATCTCCATGGACACAAGTAGACAGCTGACCCTCCACCAGAAAAGTTGCGCAGTGCACCTTTTACTTAGCACTTTTACTTTGTTATGTTCCACCACTGATTTGTGCACAGATTCAGTTTTGAAGATTGATAAGTTTTTGAAATCAGGAAAAGGGAGTGCATCTGTTTTCTAAAGCGGCACATTTATTTACTTGCTGTTTGTCTGTATACACATGATCGAGACAGCAGTGAGCACAGATACCAGCGACAAATCCACATGGTCTCCCCATGAGGTGTCACCACACTCATTCACACACACAGCTTTTAAATTATGTAAATGCGCTGAGGTGATGCAATTCATAACAATAATTGACCTATTACAAACAAATTGTGTTATTGTGAGGTGATAACGAAGCGGGAGACCTGAGTGCACAGCACTGTTAATGCATAACACTTCACAGACAACGTTTAGCAGCATTAAAAGTCCTATATTACACAAAACTGACTCTTGAGAGCTTTGAGTCATGTTATAATGTTGTTACCTCATCAAACATATCTGGAGTTGTGTTCCGTTTTATTCACACTTTTAGACAATAAGTCTTTTAAGTGTTTTTTCATGGTTTGGGTGGTTTTGTGTGATTTATATATTAAAATGTTCACAGTGGAGCCGTGAGCAGCTCTAGTCTTGTGTGTGAGTATCTGCTGCTTCTGTTCCTCCTGTACCACTGTCACTTGGCTCTACTGCGCATGTCTCCTGCAGAAAGAGCCTCTGTCCTGTCTGTATCATGTCAGTCGATCGCACCATTACTTCTGTACATCAGAAAATAAAAAATTTAAACAAACTTATAAAGACAACTGAGAAACCTGAACACAAATGCCCCCAAAAAGAAAATCATATTTTGCAGATTAAAAGCTGCAATAGAGAAATCTGCAGCTGAAAACTGTAATCGAGCAGAAGAAAAAAAGTTTGGAGTGAGTGAGAAACTTGTGATACCGGGAGGATGCACCATGACACTTTCCTGGAAGTCACTGGATGGACAAAGCCTGAACTTCAGTGACACTGAAACCATCCTGACGGGATTCAGAAAGGGCCGAATCATTCTAACTGGAACTGATTCTGACGACAGCTACACAGAAGAGGAAGCGGCGCTCTGTTTACCTCCAGAGGTCGTGGTGTTGCTTAGAAGTGACATCGAGGATGAAGAATTGAATGGATTTAGTGATCTGGAGTGAGATGGAGAGTTTGTTAAGCTTGTTCTGTTCTGTTGTTTATGTTATAGTTTATCTGAAGAACTGTTCATATGTGACGTTAACAGTCTGTTGTTCTCTCTTCTATTGTTATTACTAGAACTTGACTTTCAAGATGAAATGTTGATTCCTGGTCTCTTGATTTTATGAAAATGAATTTCACCCAAAATTTGACCCAAAAAGAGTGACTTATATATGTTTTTTACGTCTTCATTACGCGTTTTTTGACTGGTGCGACTTGTAGTCCGAAAAATATTCTAATCCTTAGTAGTATTAGTCTGTCTACATCTCCAAAGCTGAAACACTCTGTTCCACCTTGTGATGTCAAAAAGCAGTACTTTTTAAGTTAGCAGCTCCTTTTACCTTTAGCTCAGTAGAAATTGAGAATTCTAATTTCCTTCTCTAATTTGTGATAGGAAATTAATAACAAAAGGTGAAACATATGAAGCTGTTTTTAATCTTATGTTGCGTCTTTACACTATAATTAAACGCAACTTGGTGTAAAAGAATTCAAAGTTTTCAGAACACAGTACTCTGATTGGAACATGTTAAAGCAGGTATTCAGTATTTTGTAACTGAACACATTTTTGAAGTATTCTCCTCATCACTGTTGAATAATACACATGTAGATAACCAGCAGTGTGAACCCTCTACGACTTCTGATTTAATTTCATGGTTAATCTGGTCTGTCAGTGTGACCACGCAGTATTAGGCTTTATGTATTCACAGTTAATTTGTTGCTACGCCGTTGAATTCAAATGTGAGTCTTAAAGGTCCTACATTACACAAAATGGACTCTTGGGAGCTTTGAGCCATGTTATAATATTGTTATCTCACCAAAAACAGACCTGGAGTTGTGTTTTGTTCACATATGTTTGAGTAATACTTTATTGGCTTGTCTATATCTTCAAAACTCAAAACGGTCTGTTCCACCTTGTGAAGACACGAAGCAGTATTTTTCAAGTTCAAGGGACAGTTCAGAATTTTGGACATCATTTCCTAGTGAGCCAGAGTGTTGGAGACGTGTGGAAACACTTTTTAAAATATTCCATCCAGTCCTTGTATTTGCAGAGGTCACTGGTGCTAGGCTAGTGCATGTCAATGGCCATAGTTATCCTGCCGCTAAAAACAGTCTTACCCACTCCAAAAAACACCCAAAGTAAATCTATTATTACACCAGACTGTTCATGTAAATGTCTGTGTTGATAGAATAATTTTAGAAGTGAAACCAACCTTGCATTTGAAGGATTTATGTCTGAGCAGCAGCAGTGAGTTGTACTTCCTGATGGAAAGCTCGGCAGCGGCGGACTGATATATGAGAAAATAGTCCCTCAATATGCGACGATTCATGCGATGCGAGGTTAGTTTTATTTCAAACATTATTCTATCAACACAGACATTCACATCGACAGTCTGGTGTAATAATAGATTTGTTTTGGGTGTTTTGTGGAGTGGGTAAGACTGTTTTTAGTGGCAGGATAACTATGGCCATTGACATGCACTAGCCTAGCACCAGCGACCTCTGCAAATACAAGAACTGGATGGAATATTTTAAAAAAGTGTCTCCACACGTCTCCAACACTCTGGCTCACTAGGAAATGAGGTCCTATGTCCAAAATTCCAAACTGTCCCTTTAACCTTTTAGCTTTAGTTCAGTGGACATTGGCAATTCTAGGGCTGAAATTATCCAAATGATTCTAGTGAAAGTGTATTGTAGCACTTCCTGTATGACATCACATTTTCAGTTTGAGAGAAGAAGCTTTGTGTGTTAAACATGTGTGAATGAAACAAAACACAATTCCAGGTACGTTTTTAATGAGGAAACATCATTATAACAGATCAGAAAATAGTGTAATATGTCCTCTTTAATGATTCATGTCTCGCTGATGTGCTGCAATACAGTGGAAGAAATGTCATTATTTCTTTCCCCGCACTTTGAAACACTATTCCCTTTAACGACATAATAAATTGGACACGGTTAGAGCTGCCATAAATTAAAAATATCACTTTCCTCGTTTAATTTTGCATATTGGTTGGCCCATTTTTGTCATATAGCCTACACTGGAGTTGTAATATCAAAATCCAATAATGAAACCCTATGAGAAGCAGAATGAGTCTACGGCCCAGAGTTACGCCCATGACGACCGTAACTAGGCACATTGGGGTCATAAAACTTTTAAATTGTATGATTTATTTATTCTGAGCTCATATTCTGAAAAAGCAGGTTAAAGGGCTCATATTAAGCTATCATCTGATCTATGTTGCAATGTCATTTCCTCATCAAAAACAGACTTGGAGTTGTGTTTTCTTTCATTCACACATGTTTCACGCACAAACTCTGTTCTTCTCTCAAGCATAAACACTCTGTTCCACCTTGTGATGTCATGCGATGATAAAGGAAGTGCTTCACTGAGACCCCGTTTACACTGAAAAGAATCAATGTATCACCGTATCAGAAACGATCTGCGTCCACACACGTCGTTTCTGTGTCCGCAATCCTTCCCTATCCACACAGCTTTGAGCACATTTGTTTATGTTTTACAGAAACGAAACTTAAAACTGCACGGCTAATTTGCATAAACTACTGCTCGCTATTGTGCACTGATGCGGTTCAGCTTCTGTCAGACTAAAGGACACGACTCAGTGGAATATGAGTGTTCTTTCGGTGACAGAGGGGTGTTCTGCTGATGGTGAGTCTGTTCTGTGCTTCTGTCGCGTTGGAGATGGTTCATGTGAAACTTTTCAGAGATTATACGTCTGCAGGTCGTACGCGTAGACCGTATATATGAATATATTCTAACCTCTTAGAGTTTTGGCGGTGAG